TCTTTCTTTTTTACGATCAGAGGAAACAAGAAGATGCTCGGTGTAGTCGGCACTTTGCTTCGTTCATCATTTCGTAATTTTTTTCAATGTTTGCTTATGTGCCCCCCCTCTTCTTTTTTTCAAATGAAAGATTTCATGAAAGATTCTCTCTCTTCTCTCCCCCCCCCCTTCCCCCGGGCATGACCACCGCCACCACCACCACCTCCTCCACCGCCACCACCGCCACCACCTCCACCACCGCCACCACCACCACCTCCACCACCGCCTCCACCGCCGCCACCCGCCGCCACCACCGCCACCACCGCCACTCACGGCAGCAGTCTTGTGCTGGTAGTAGTAGTCACGTTCGCCGCCCACGTCGCGGGTGAGGCCCAGATCAGCGATTTTCACCGAATAGCCGCCACCAACTCCGCCGTCAACGACGAGGACGTTCCTGGCCGCCAGGTCCCGGTGAACGCACTGTGACACCGACACACACGGTGCGTGGGTAGGTGTGTGTGGGTAGGAGATGTGTGTGGGTAGGGGTGTGTGGGTAGGAGATGTGTGTGTAGGGGTGTGTGGGTAGGGGTGTGTGGGTAGGTGTGTGTGGGTAGGGGTGTGTGGGTAGGGGTTGTGTGGGTAGGGGTGTGTGGGTGCCGGACGGGCAACTCTGTCATGGACAGTGCTGTGGGGGGAGGGCCAATGCCGATTGGCCTCTCCCGTCATGGCGTCTGCGACCACCACAGTGGCTAAACGGGGGCTCTGGACGGGTGCAATGGGTTGGTAACCCCTCCACCTTCAATTAATTACCACTAAACCACAAATTAAATATGTAACTAATAAGTTTGTGGCGCAGGCCATGGGGGGGGGGGGGACAGGTGTCTATGACGTCTCCTGGCCAAACCCCAATTGTCGGAACCAGGAGATTGAATCTTCACCCTTGGGGCTTCCTCCAGAAACAACGAAAAACCACTTCGTGTGGCGAGGTGGAATGTTCGAACACTCACTGCGGAGGAGAGGCTGCCACTCCTTGTCGGGAGCTGGACCGGTACCGCCTGGATCGCTGTGGCATTCAGGAGGTCCGGTGGACCGGTCCTGGCTCCTGCCACCATGAGGGGTGGACAGTACTTTACTCGGGGCAGGAGACTGCCAAACAACAGGGTCTGGCTCTTCTTCTGAACAAAAAATGAAGGGGGCGTGGGAGCAGTGGCGGTGAGGTGTGGGAAGCTGTAAGCCCCAGGCTACTTTGGGCTCGCCTTCCCATCAACCGGAGACGAGGAGTGGTGGTCGTGGTTACTTATGCCCCCACCGAACACGAACATCCGTGGAGGGATGCAGGCAAAGCCGATGAGTCAAATGCCTTCTATGACCTCCTGTCACAGGTGCTGGCTAGATTGGCCACTCGGGATAGAGTCATCTTGTTGGGTGACTTCAATGCCTGAGTTGGTCATGATGCTGGCAGCTGATCTGGAGTGATTAGAAGGCATGGGCCAGATCAGCTCAATAACAACGGTAGGAGGCTGCTAGATTTTTGTGCAGCCCATGGGCTTGTAATTACCAACACGCTCTTCCGGCATTGGCGCATCCACACAACATCATGAATGCATGACGGGTCCAAGCAAAAACATCTGCTGGTCTACATAGTGACGGACCAGCGGATGCGAGCCCATGTCCTTGACACCAGGACCTACCGTGGAGCTGATATGCCCTCTGACCATCGACTAGTCATCTGTAAGATGCGCCTGCCATTCTTCCACTCCGGTGGTGGGTGTACACCCAGGACCCCCTTCCAACCTAAAGTGGCCTGGTCTCAGCTGATGAAAGTTGCAAGTGAGAATTTCATCATTGCTTGCAGATGGGGTTGGCATCGTCCCAACTCCTCCTGATGTCGAGGGTTAATGGGCGAGGTTTAGGACTGTGGCTCATGCAGCTGCAATGGGTGCTTTGGATACGCGGTCCAGACCTCTCCAGAGACCCTGGCTGACAGAGGAGGTATTCAGGATAGTTGAGAAAAAGCGACATGCCCACTCTAATCGTCGACAGCATCCCACGTCAGAGAATGAGGAGGCTTACCGCAGCCTTCGCTCGGAGGTTCGGAGAGCCGTGAGGCGCTGCAAGGATGGGTGATGGTTATGGGTTGCTGAGGAGACGGAGTCTGCCTGAGTGGCTCACGATCACAAATCACTATTTAACTCCATCAAAAAAGTTATCTGCAGCGCCACACCTATTTCCATCATTAGGGGAAAAAACGTTGATCCAATCTCCGACCCCCAGGAACAGGTTTGCAGATTTGCTGAGCATTTCTGTGAGGTCCTGGGGGAGGGGAAATCCCTCAGCCAGGAAAACATCATGGCGCAAAGTGGGGATAACCCTGCCGAGGCTGCGGTGCCTCAAATATTGGAGGAAGAGGTCACCCCCTGTGAGTGGCTGGCTGAGGTGCCATCTGTAGAGGAAGTACTGAAGGCGATCCGGAGTCTGAGACCAGGACAGGCACCGGGCAGAGATAATCTCCCAAGCGAAATGCTGAGGGAGGGTGGCGTTTGTGCACAGACTGCCCTACATGATATCATAAAAAAAGTCTTGACCACTGGACGGGTTCCGGAGGATTGGAAGGATGCCCTGGTGGTCTCCCCTCTTTAAGAAGGGGGACGACACAGACTGTAACAACTACAGGGGCATCTCACTCCTGTGTGCCGGGAAAGGTCCAGGCAAGGATTATTCAACATCGCCTTGCTAGACACACTGAGGAGAGGCTTGCGAGCCCCAATTCGGTTTCAGGAAAGGGCGGTCCTGCACAGATGCCATATTTTCTGTCTGTCTGGTACAGCAGAGGTGTAGGGAATTCCAACAAGACCTACATCTCTGCTTTATTGACCTGGTCAAGGCCTATGATACCATCAGGAGGCCTGGGCTCTGGGTTGTTTCGTGCTTTCGGAGTCCCTGATCCACTGCTCACGATCATTAAGGACCTTCATGATGGTGAGTGGGCCCGGGTAAAACTACGTGGCCGGGAGTCGGAGACATTCGCTGTTTATTTTGGGGTGCGACAGGGATGTCCTCTGGCTCCCACATTATGTAACATCTATTTCGACCACGTAGTTCGTGAAACCTTCAGTAGCTGTACCGGAGGAATTTACATGTGGTACAGATACAATGGGAGGCTGATTGATGCCCAGGTGCGGTCAAGGGATGGCTCCCTATTGCTCAACCATGTTATGTATGCCGATGATCTGGTAATAGCTGCTCACTCAGAAGAGGAGTTGGAGGCACTGCTGCTGGAACTGGAGCGTGCCACTAAGATGTGGGGACTTATCATCAGCCCCACCAAAACTAAGCACCTGCCTGGGTATTTTGTACCATCGGACACTCCACCCCCACAACTCCCAACTGGTCTTGGGGCAGTTGTGCAGAGAGTGGAGAGTTTCCCATACCTGGGCAGTGTGCTCATGACCGGCTCCGGTTTGACAGCAGAGGTCTCACTCCGAATCAGTCGAGCGGCAATATCTTTTCATCGGTTGCATACCGCTGTGTGGAAGCTACCTGGTCTGTCGCTCCGCACGAAACTTCAGGTCCTCTCGGCCACAGCCATTCCCTCCTTTCTCTACGCTTGCGAAACATGGACCCCCCTAATGGAGCATCTTCACCGGTTAGAAATATTTAGGCTGGCCTGCCTACGATCCATCCTGGGTTTAACCAGGCTGGATTGTGTGAGGAGCTCATATATCCTTGAAAGATCTGGACGAAGTCCCATCGGTGAGCTCCTCCGGTAGGCAAGGCTGTGTTGGCTGGGCCATGTCGCCCGCATGCCCAGCCACCGCATACCTAAACAGCTTTTGTTCGGCCTGGATTGAGGGGGCTAAACGGGCGCAACACTGGGCTAAAGAAGAGATGGAGTGATGTGGTACAGGAGGACGTGGAGCTGAGTAGACTTGCCGATGACTGGTACCAGCGGTGTCAAGATCGGCCTCTGTTGAGGAGGCTCGTGAAGGACGCTACTGGGCAGTTGGATGCAGTCGCCCTCCAACAACAACGAAGGGCAGAGGAGCGACGCTCACAACAACGAGCGGAGCACCGGGTGGCTAAAGCGCAGCCAATTGGTACAGTAGGGGGCACAGGTGGTGCATCAGCCAGTCATCTCGGTCATCTCAGTCAGTCAACCCGTGGCACCTGGGTCTGCCCCGTGACCTCCTCGACATTTCACGTGGCCTCAAGGTGCACATGGCCTGGCACAAGCGTCGTGGTGACGTCACCGCCACTTAGTGGCGAATGGCGGTTGTTGTTGTTGTTCTAGATTTGAAGCTTTCGTGACTGCAAGGATTCATACTCTAAGTTTATTCAGTAAAGTCACGTAGGTAGAAAATGAAATTTAAATTAATAAAAATAAAATAATAAAAATCACGACGTTTTGGAGGCAACACAAGTCTCCGTCGTCTGGTGGGACCGTCACAGCCAGACTTGCTGTATCAAGTGAGGCAGGGATTCCAAGATGCAAGTTCTTAACTTGTATTTAAGATTTGTATTATTTTTTATTAATTTTAATTAAATTTTTTACCTACGTGACTTTACTGAGAAAACGAAGAGTATGTTGTTGTTGTTGAGTGGGTAGATGTGCGTGCGTGTGGGCGGGTGTCGTCGCTGCACCTTCTTAGAGGTGAGGTACTCCATGCCGCGTGCCACCTGGCAGGCGAAGGCCACCAGCTGCAGCATGGAGAGCGTTTCGCCCTTCACCTCGTCGCCACCACCACCGCCACCACCGCCACCACCGCCACCACCGCCGCCGCCACCGCCACCACCGCCACCACCGCCGGCTCCGTAGCCGCCACGCGCCGTGCACTCTGCGCCAGGCGTGCGGTGTGCACGCAGGAAGTCGCGCAGATTCCCCTTGGCCGCAAACTCAACGATCACGAGCAGGGGGCCTGGGAGAGTTGGGGGGGGGAAGGGGCACAGTGAGATGTTAACTACCTCGCCTGGTCTACAGGAGGTCGCGAGTTCAATTCCAACTCTGACGATGCCTGCTGCTGCTGCTGTTGTATATGTGGAGTCTGCGTGTCTCTTTATCATCATCACGATGGCTATGCGATGTTAACTACCTCGCCTGGTATACAGGAGGTCGCGAGTTCAATTCCAACTCTGACGATGCCTGCTGCTGCTGCTGTATATTTGGAGTCTGTGTGTCTCTTTATCATCATCACGGTGGCTATGAGATGTTAACTACCTTGCCTGGTACACAGGAGGTCGTGCGTTCGATCCAGATGGATTTTTATTTCCTCCGTGTCCTACGGTTTTTCCCCTTTTCACATTTGGAATCGACGTCGCTACTAATGTCCACCAGAAATCGTCCGTGATGGCCAGGTGGCTTCCGGAACAAGAGCAACGCAGCTCGAGGGGGGGGGGGGGGGGTCTTGCCTGACGACATACAAACTAGTGAGCAGCGGCGGGCAAGTCGCTCTCAACAGCAAACGTCACTGGGGCTGCCGCTGTCAAGCAAAGCGGCTTGAGCTGCCGTGAGTGGTGGCGGCGGCGGCCAGGGGTCGCTGCTGAAGAGGAGCCACACAGGCAGCGGAGCGGAGGCCTCGCCTGCTGCTCGAATTGTCTACAAGTTCGTGTTGGTTTCATTGGCTTCGAAATAGAGAGGGGGACGGGGGAGGTGCAATGATCACAATCCCGAGTCACCAAGAAGACGACCCAACTCTCGGCTTTGCCAAAATCACTCGCGAAGCCAAATTAGTCCACAAGGTGAAGAGTTCATCGCCATCACGAGGGAGGGGGGCTGCTCACCCCCCCACTCACCACCCCCCCCACTCACCACCCACACTCACCACCCCCCCCACGCTCACCACCCACACTCACCACCCCCCCACACTCACCACCCACACTCACCACCCCCCCACACTCACCACCCACACTCACCACCCCCCCCCCCACACTCACCACCCACACTCACCACCCCCCCGCTCACCACCCCCCCACGCTCACCACCCACACTCGCCACCCACGCTCACCACCCCCCCCACACTCACCACCCACGCTCACCACCCCCCCCACTCACCACCCCCCCGCTCACCACCCCCCCCACTCACCACCCCCCCGCCTCACCCCCCCCCACACTCACCACCCCCCCACACTCACCACCCCCCCCCCCCCGCTCACCACCCCCCCACACTCACCACCCCCCCCCCACACTCACCACCCCCCCACACTCACCACCCCTCCCACGCTCACCACCCACACTCACCACCCCCCCCACGCTCACCACCTCCCCCCACACTCACCACCCCCCCACACTCACCACCCACCCCCCCACACTCACCACCCCCCCCCCCCCACGCTCACCACCCCCCCACACTCACCACCCACGCTCACCACCCACGCTCACCACCCCCCCCGCACTCACCACCCACACTCACCACCCACGCTCACCACCCCCCCACACTCACCACCCCCCCACACTCACCACCCACGCTCACCACCCCCCCACACTCACCACCCACACTCACCACCCCCCCACACTCACCACCCACACTCACCACCCACACTCACCACCCACGCTCACCACCCCCCGCTCACCACCCCCCCACACTCACCACCCCCCCGCTCACCACCCCCCCACACTCACCCCCCCCCCCACGCTCACCGCCCCGTGTGCATGCGCCCAGCAGGTTCACCAGGTGGCTGTGCCGTCCGATCTTCTTGAGGGTCTCCAGCTCCGCGTGGAGGTCGTGGGTCTCCGCTTCCGTGGCGTGCGCTGGGCTCGCACGCCGCACGTCCGAACACAAATTAAAAACAAACTCTTCTAGCGGTAAAGTCACCACGTAGAATGCAAATAATAAAATAATAAAACATAATAAAATAATAAAACATAATTTAGTAATACAAATAGGTCTGTCTTTCCGACAGACCTGTTCTTCACCTGAGGACGGCTGCTTGCGTTGTGGCCGAAACGTCGTGAGAATTGTATTTCATTGTTTTATTTTTATTCTTTCATTATTTCCCTTCTACGTGACTTTACCGAAAGAACCAAGAAGATGAATCCCTGCAGTCACGAAAGCTTTACATCGAAATGTAAACTTGTAGCGATCGCCCCACAAACTCCTAGTTCTAGAACCCCGCGGGCGTCACCCTTCAGCATCTTGACGGCGACGCGGACGCTGCGGTGAGGCCGTGACGGCTCCATGCCCAGCGCCTCGGCCAGCAGCACGCGGCCAAAACAACCCTCACCCAGCTGCTCACCCAGAGTCAGCCTGCACACACAGACACACACACAGACACACACAGACACACACAGACACAGATACACAGACACAGATACACAGAAACACACACAGACACACACAGATACACAGACACACACACAGACACGCGCACAGACACAGAGACACGCGCACAGACAGATACACACAGACACAGAGACACGCGTGCAGACACAGAGACACGCACAGACACGCACAGACACAGAGACACACACAGACACACAGAGACACACAGACAGAGACACGCGCGCAGACACAGACAGACACAGAGACATAAAGACACAAGCACAGACATAGAGACACACAGACACAGAGACACACGCACACAGAGACATGCACAGACACAGAGACAGACACAGAGACAGACACACACACAGACACACGCACAGACACACAAAACAAAGAACCCCCCTGTAGCCTTAACAGACTGTAGGGGCAAGTGCTGTTAGCGAGCACCTATGAAGGCCGGAACGGTACACAAGGGGGTGGGTGGCCAGCACCACGCCCGACCGCCTTTGTCTCCCCTGTGGCGATGTTTACACACCGCACCAGGTACTCATTTAAGGCTGAGTAGACCTAGGGGAGGCCCAGGACCGGTTCAGATAATCGTCACTGGTGTTGGCCGTGAGCGGGAATCGAACTCTGGTCGCCGGGTTCGTAGCGCAGCGTAGCGCTAACCACTACGCCATCACTCCACACACAGACACACACACTTATACACAGACATATACACAGACACACACACAAATAAACAGACCCACAGACATACACAGACATATACACAGACACACACATATACACAGACACAAACATATACACAGACACACAGACATATACACACAATAACGACGACAACAACGATGATAACAACAACAATGATGACGACAACAACAACGATGATGACGACAACAACAACGATGATGACGACAACAACAACGACGAACCGTTCCCGAGGGAACTCCCAGCGGTCGCACGGCCCCGTCACCCCCGACAGCTCCACGCCGCTCAGCGCAGACAGCACCTGGGGCGGCACCACAACCACCACCACCATCATCACCACCACCGCCACCACCACCTCCACCATCACCACCACCACCGCTACCACCGCCACCTCCACCACCACCATCACCACCGCTACCACCACCACTACCACCGCCTCCACCGCTACCACCAACACCACCTTCACCACCTCCACCACCACCTCCGCCACCACCACCACCACCACCACCATCTCCACCACCACCACCTCAACTGCACCTGCATCTCCCCCTCTCCGCTGGTCGACCCTCTCCTCCTCCGCGTGAGGCCGGTGACAGCACCGATGGTGATCAGCAGCAGGAGGGCGGCGGCACAAGAACCGCCGCCCACTCTCACGGGAGCAGCCAGGGCGGTGTCCACTGTCACAGGGAGACAGGCGAGGTAGTCAACATCTCATAGCCACGTGATGAGAGAGAGAGAGAGAGACACGCAGACTCCAAATATACAGCAGCAGCAGGCATCGTCAGGGTCGGGATCGAACCCACGACCTCCTGCAGACCAGGCGAGGTAGTTAACATCTCATAGCCACCGTGATGATGATGAGAGAGAGAGACGCAAACTCCAAATATACAGCAGCAGCAGGCATCGTCAGAGTTGGAATTGAACTCGCGACCTCCTGTAGACCAGGCGAGGCAGTCAACATCTCAGCCACCGTGATGATGATGAGAGAGAGAGAGACGCAAACTCCAAATATACAGCAGCAGCAGGCATTGTCAGGATCGGGATCGAACCCACGACCTCCTGCAGAGCAGGCGAGGCAGTCGACATCTTACCAGCCGGCGTCTCTTGCGGCACGACGAGGAGCCATGCGGAGCGGTGAGCGAATCCCGCGGCGTTGCCCGCCAGGCAGGTGTAGCGGCCCGAGTCGTCCGTGCTGACGTTGCGCAGGTACAGCACGTCCGTCTCCACGTCCGTCACCTCCACGCCCACCGTCTTGAGGCGACACGGCGGGCGGCGCGGAGAGAGCGAGCGAATCAGCATCTTGTTTGTATACCCACGACGCAGGCTGCTGTGCGGGGTAGGGGTGATTTGGGTTGGAGCGTCGCATGTAAGCGTTGTGTCGTCGAACTCGCCACCACCCGACATGGCCAACGAGTAAGATTCAGTGTCACGTGAACAAGTTTCAACGTTATTTATTTATTTATTAGGTACCAGCAGTAAGTACCCGGCGAAGCGGTGGCTTCTGAGTCCTGTTGTTTAGAGGGTGACGTCAGCCTCCGCTGAGTTGGGGTGGGTGGGTGAGTGAGTGAGTGGGTGAGTAGATGGGTGAGTGAGTGGTTGGGTGAGTGGGTGGGTGGGTGAGTGAGTGGGTGGGTGAGTGGATGGGTGAGTGAGTGGTTGGGTGGGTGGGTGAGTAAGTGGGTGGGTGACTGGGTGGGTGAGTGAGTGGTTGGGTGAGTGGGTGGGTGGGTGGGTGAGTAAGTGGGTGGGTGACTGGGTGGGTGAGTGAGTGGTTGGGTGAGTGGGTGGGTGGGTGGGTGAATGAGTGGGTGAGTGGGTGGGTGAATGAGTGGGTGGGTGAATGAGTGGGTGGGTGAATGAGTGGGTGGGTGAATGAGTGGGTGGGTGAATGAGTGGGTGGGTGAATGAGTGGGTGGGTGAATGAGTGGGTGGGTGAGTGAGTGGGTGGGTGAGTGAGTGGGTGGGTGAGTGGGTGGGTGAGTGAGTGGGTAGGTGAGTGGGTGGGTGAGTGGGTGGGTGAGTGAGTGGGTGGGTGGGTGAGTGGGTGGGTGAGTGAGTGGGTGGGTGAGTGAGTGGGTGAGTAGGTGAGTAGGTAAGTGGGTGAGTGAGTGAGTGGGTGGGTGAGTGAGTGGGTGGGTGAGTTAGTGGGTGAGTGAGTGGGTGAGTTGGTGGGTGGGTGAGTGGGTGGGTGAGTGAGTGAGTGTGTGAGTGGGTGAGTGAGTGAGTGAGTTAGTGGGTGAGTGGGTGGGTGGGTGAGTGGGTGAGTTGGTGGGTGAGTAGGTGGGTGAGTGGGTGGGTGCCCCCGTGCCTCGCCCGCTCACCGTGAGGACGTGCACGTAGGGTGAGCCATTGGGTGCTTCGAGGCTGCCATTCACCTCCACGTGCTTGAGCCACTGCACGTGGTGGTGCAGCTGCTGCTGACTGCTGCCGCCAGCGCTCTGCAGGACGACGCAGCGGAGCTCCACGTCGCTCCCCTCCGCCGCCGTCACGTTCGCCGGGAGGCCGTCCTGCAGCGACGGCCGCTGAGGCTGGCCACGCTCTGCACGCCGGGAGGGGCGGGAGGGGGGAGGGGGGAGAGGCAAAAAAATTACGAAATGATGAACGAAGCAAAGTGCCGACTACACCGAGCATCTTCTTGTTTCCACTGATCGTAGAAAAAAAAGAGAAAAAAAGGGGAGGGGGGGAGATGATAGGGAGAGGGGAGATGGAGGGGTGAGAGGGAGGGGGAGAGGGAGGGGGGAGAGTGGAGGGGGGGAGAGTGGAGGGGGGGTCACCACCAATGACGACGAGCTGGTACGAGTGCTGGATGGAGCCGTGCTGGTTGCTGACCACACAGCTGTAGTTGCCCGCGTCAGAGGGCACCACGCTGTCCAGCACGAGCGTCCAGTCCTTGATCCTCAGCTTCAACAGCACAACAACAACAACAACATTACACACACACACATCGCCATTGTCTTACACACTGCTTGGTCCACACCAAAGTGTCGGACCAGACAATGTCACTCCCAGGACCATGTCTAGCAGCTCGTGGCTGCTTCCTGGACGGCGTGACAAATATAACAAGAGGCCGTCCACCCTTTCACCCGGCCATCAAACAGTTTGTACTATGAGACATCTCCTTTGCCAGTGGCAAAATAAAGTAATAGGTTTTTACCCTTTCAACTGGTACAAAAACTGACACCTTTATACAAGGCATCATGTTTGCAATAATACACAACACAAGCAGTCAAAATGCAAACAAAAAGGAACAACTCTGATGATGATAATGATATGCACTGTCCTTGAAGTTGATTGGTCCACACCCGAAACAGCTTTTCTTAGAGCCCAGTGTTGTATATGTTGGTTATCAAAATTTGTTATGTTGTATGCGTGCGTGGGTGAAATTATTATGTTGTATATGTGGGTTATGAATATTCAGTGAAAATAATAATAATTAAATGAAATTTGGCCAAATGTGTAATTATCCGGAAATATGTTAATTTATGTAATTACGCACATTTTAATTATGCCAATTCGAGAGGTAATCGTATTAATTATGCGAGTGGGTGTAATTATGATAATGCAAGTCGTTATGATAACCAGACCCCGCCTCGGTGATGAGGGTGGGTTATCGATCGGAATAAGGCAATTAATCGTATGCAGTTATGCAGGTGTGGTGTAAGTATGCAAGATTAACTTAGATTAACTCGGCATCGTTGTCTAGGTTCGTCTCATTCTCGCTTAAACATTCCCAGAGTGTGTATTCGTGGTTATATTTTAGGTCCCCGGTTCACCCCGTTATCGCTTTAACATTTACTGAGTATGTGTTAGTGTGTTTATTAAGGTCACCAAGTTCAGATCTCAACGCAGAAGCAGATCTTATGCATAGATTTCAGGAAAGAATCACACAACCACTTCTGTATTGATCAATTTATTACTAATTCAACCTTAACTATGATATAGTATGCGAACTCTCAATCCCGGAACGTCAACACGGCATCAATACAGTATCATCAACGATTGTCTGATTTCACTTTGACAACGGCACATGGATCCCGCATAACGCGATGGTTGTTAGTGAGAGAGAGAGTCGTTAAAATATGCAAATACTATGCTAAGAAAACCTTAACGTTAATGAATGATTATACTCAATTTTGTTCACGCAGTACCGCACTCCTTATTGATCATACGCAACCCTTATCACGTTGTTAGCACCTTGGGTCACGGGACAGTTGAATATTCTGTAGAGGATGCGAGTACGTGCGGCGATTATGACTGAAAGATACTTGAAAGATTATACGGCGATAAAAAAAAACACAATCAAAAACAGTTATTATTCTTAAAGGCACCAATCTCAACAGATACATCGGCAGGTTATCTGACAACAGAACGGCTCGGAGTAAGGGCCTGCGACGGTGCTCCTTTTCCGAAGATCGTTATCTTATACCAAGTTTACTAATTGGGGACCAGATCACCTGATAAGGATCCGGTGGGCCACCACTCCCTACGTGAGCGTGGCTCGGCGGAAGGAGGTGCCAAAAATCAGTTCGTATTGATGGATCTGTTGGGAATTTATGCGATTAAGAGTACAGCCCACTAAATATTAAAGATAAAAATTACGAATACTTTTATAAACGACGGATGGCCATCACTCGGTCTCGTTGTGATGCCTTCCAAGCCACGGATGGCTTATGGGTTCGAGTGTGTTTGAGTGGTAAGAGTTGTCTTGAATAGTCAGTGTTCGGAGTCGATTCTTTATGTCAAACAGACGTCTGGTGGTCGTGTGGTGAGGGGGCGGTGCGCGTCATACGTATCAGTCGCTCCCCTGTCACCGTGGTGACTCGGTTCGGATGCCCGTTGATACGCTGTCGCAGTTCGGAACCCGGTCGGTAGGTGGCGCCCACAACTCGCTCGCAGCGTGCAGTGGTGGGGTCGTCGTGTGCACGGAGCCTCGTCGCCAAAACCGCGACCCTCACCACTCCGGCGGCAGCAGAGACCTCCGACTCGACAGAGGTTAACCCACGCAGGCCGAGTTGAGCTGTCAAGCGGGTCTTGCCCGCCTGCAGAGGAGATGGGGAGCCGCTTGAGTCGAGCCCCAAGAGCCGGCTTTGGCAAGCCGATCGAACTCGGCTGAGTCCCAGACGAGCTGAAGATGAGTCGAGCCGACCCGCTGGTCGCAGCTCGCTCCTGAGTCGACCCGCTGGTCGCACCCCCCACGTGAGCCGACCCGCTGGTCGCACTCCCCCCGTGAGCCGACCCGCTGGTCGCACTCCCCCCGTGAGCCGACCCGCTGGTCGCACTGATTTCCAATGCTCAGGATCCTTTCCTTTATGCCGAAAAATCCCCCTGGATCCCGCCCACAAGGCGGGGCTTCTTTCGATTTTTGCTGTGTCAGGATCTGTCCGTAGGCAGGTGTGTCCATGTGTGTGTCCGTACGTCCGTATGTCCTTGTGTGCATCACTCACGGTATTCCGTTGTCACACTCCCTCCATAAAACCCACGAGCAAACAATCAGATGTTACAAATTGCCTCGAGGTCGTCTCTCTGTCTGGGTGCAATATTATCTCTTGTCTGGCCTTCTTCATGAACCCAAAACACAGACGTTACAAATCGTCTCATAGGCGTCTTTGTTCGTGTTGCACCACCTGGAGGGAGGGGCAACACTCTCTCCGACCCGGCGCACAAAGAAATGGTTAAGAAGTTTTAAGTTAACATTTGTCCCTTACTATTTCACAGTTATGATTCTGTATGTAACCTAAGGTCTGTCGTTTCCCATCGTGGTGCTTGACTCAAGTGGAGGTGTTTCCCCGAGCGTATACACACTCCTATCCCGCGCTGCGGGGATACAAAGACGGCCGGGATCTCCCTTTCTCTCCGACCCTGGGTTTAACATCGTTTTTTTTTATTATGTATTTATATTCGACCTGGTGGTGATTCATCCCGTTATCCTGGCTTTTCCATAAGTTTACTTTTGTCTTTTCATGCATGTGCTTATTACTATTAATTTATTTCCGATATCTTAGGTTAAGGGGTAAGTTTCTTGATCCTAGGAATTCGTATTCCTTGGTGTCTGCATGGTTATATAAGCGGAATATAGTTTACGGTGAATAGCGTTAACATTGATGTTATGTACGATATTATGTATTGTGATGTCTTTAACTTAACTTGTTTGTCAGGGCTTTACTGACACGAAGTTGCATTCCATAGCCCCGCAGTCTTTGCCCCACCCTATCTCTGCTCGCCGTGGTTGTTGCTGTCCAGCTGATGTCGTTAACTCAAGGTCTCATTAATTTCCGTCACTCCTTGTGTGTGAGGGCGGTTGAACCTTGGAGTCAGTTCTGGTTTTTGTCTGCCTGCTTCTTCTTGTGTCCCCTGACCCCGGGAGTTATTATTTCTACTTTTTATGGCCTGTCGAAGCCCGACTCGCTGTTGCTGGGCTGGTCGTTCCCGGCTTTTTGCTTACGTTTGCAGTTCGCCGTGCTCTTAATTTCCTTCCCTCTTCAACCTTATCGACTATTCGCTCCTGTCTGGGTGTGATTCAATTTTAACTTAGGAAGGTTCTGATTGTCATATGCTTCGGGTCGAGTTGTATAGAAAGTATTAAAGTATGGAAATAACATTTCATATTGACTTAATGATGGTGATGGTTCAGTAGGCGTAACTTGTGGCCTGGTTTAATTGGAGTGGGTGTGAATATCAATAACTTTAGCCTACCCTAGTTGTTAAATTCCGACTTTAACGTTACTTTAATAGCAATACAGAATAATTGAGCTTTTTGTCTTAACTAGGCGAACGCGAACTTCTGGTGACCCCCGCAGCCTTGTTGTTCAGCTGGGTCTGCCTCCTTGAGAGATATACACCACTCTTATTCTTGTCTCACTGTGGCCACCCAACCTTCTGCTCTGGGAGTGTTATTCTTAATTTCAGGTCAAAGGCCCCCTCACGTTCAGACGTGCAGGGTTGTTTAAATCAGCTCCCTCCCCTGTGCACGTGTTCCAACTAGCTCGGAATCCCTAAACACACAATCAGTGATGATTCCTGGCTTTCTGTGGTTGTGATTTAGACAAAGGCGCCTCTGTTTTCTTCCATTGCCTTTGAGTCGACACTGCCCTATTATTTGCCCATGTGCTGAGGTCATAGAATTCGTTTTGACTTCAGTAATATTAACATTCAGTATTGGATTAGCAAATGGGCAATGGTTCATTGATGTAGCTCGCAGCCTGGTCTCCAATTTGAGCGAGCGCGAGGATCGATAATTTAGCCTACTCTGTTGTTGACTTTCGAATTTTGACGTTACTTTAAAACCATGCAGGATGGTTGGGCTTTTTGCCTTAACTATGTCTGGCTGACACTCCCACTGTCTCTGCCGCCTGCACGGGTGACATGTGCCCGTTCATCAGGCCTTATCTTTCCTTGAAGCAAGGTTGCAAATTCTGCCATCCTAGCCCTCCTCCAGTTCATCACTTAACAACACCTGGTGTTTTGCAGTTTGCTGCGCTTTTGGTGTGTTTCATTCATTAAAAAAACAAGTGAAAAGATAATATATAAAAATATCATCAAATATTATTAATCTCAATTTTGGAAGAAGGGTTAGTATACAACACAGACCCACAGAGAACCACACAGACCCACACAGACCCATAGAGACCCATACAGACCCACACAGACGCACAGAGACCCATTCAGACCCACAGATACCCACAGAGACCCACACAGACCCACAGAGACCCACAGAGACCCATACAGACCCACAGAGACCCACAGAGACCCACACAGACCCACAGAGACCCATACAGACCCATACAGACCCACAGAGACCCACACAGACCCACACAGACCCATAGAGACCCATACAGACCCACACAGACCCACAGAGACCCATTCAGACCCACAGATACCCACAGAGACCCACACAGACCCACAGAGACCCACAGAGACCCATACAGACCCACAGAGACCCACACAGACCCACAGAGACCCATACAGACCCACACAGACCCACAGAGACCCATACAGACCCACAGAGACCCATACAGACCCACAGAGACCCACACAGACCCACAGAGACCCATACAGACCCACAGAGACCCATACAGACCCACAGATACCCACATAGTCCCACACAGACCCACAGAGACCCACACAGACCCATACAGACCCACAGACCCATACAGACCCACAGAGAGGTATACTGGATGTGGTGTGCTGGGTGCAGCAACAATGTCTCTGCCGCCGATCCGGCCACGTGCGGATGGATAAAGAGGCCAATTCAAGTGATTTCAGCAGTAATTCTGACGTCATCTCTCAGGATAAAAATCCGTTCTCGAAAAATTCAACTCTGAATTCAAGACTAATAAATTAACCCGTAAAAACAAAGTTTTTCACTCTAAATCTTTTACATGCGTGGCGGCTAGAGTCCTCTCGTCCTCTGGCTTGAGATGGCTGCCACCTATGGGTCAGATGATTATTCTTAGGTTTTTTCGGTAAAGTCACGTAGGTAAAACATCTAAATTAATTTTTGATTTTTTTTGTTTTATTTTATTTATTTTATTTTTATTTTTATTAATTTTGATGTTTTACCTACGTGACTTTACCGAAAAAACCTAAGAATATGAATCCTTGCAGTCACGAAAGCTTCAAATCTAGGGTCAGATGATTGTCTGCCACCATTAAGCAATTGGTAATTAAATATTTAAAACAATTTCCCTAAACAGTGTAAAATTTTGGAAAACATTTTTCACGACAATTAATTGTCACGCACAACGAGTGTGTGTGCAAAATGTCAGCTCGATTGGATCACGGGAAGTGGGTTAAAAAACGACCGAAAGATTTGCACGGTCGTAAGCAAGCAAGTGAACTTAATATAAAGGATTTAAAAATGACTGCTATGGTACCCCGGGGTACCGCCATGAGGTTCATACGACCCGGTGTCCACTGTGGAAGAGCAGACACTCACCACCCTGGGGGTGAGTGGGTGGGTGGGTGATGAGTGGGGTGGGTGAGTGGGTTGATGGGTGAGTTAGCGGGTGATTGATTGAGTGGATCAATTGGTGTATTGGTGCATAGCTGTCAACCCACAGGGTTCACCCCGTATTCTTGCACAGGGAAATTGAGTTTCCATGTCAATACGGCGGGCAGATGTTTCAATACTGGCAAACAAAATAGTCTTTGTGTTTCTCACTTGTTCAAGTTCAAGTTCATGTATTAGGTATAGCCATGTGAGCCATTCGGCTCTTGAACCGGATGCAACCGCAACAAACAAAAAAAAACATGAACAAAAAACATCTTAAAGTGAATATGTGACTAAGTGCAAACAGAAAATCCAAGAAAAGACAGCAAAATATTGCAGAAAAAAATCACCGTGTACACCAACGCTGTGATGGGACTTTGCAGGATGAACGCTGAGATGTATCATGGGCACGGGGTGACCAATACGGTCTGAATTGGTCAGTCGTAAGGTAGGGCGCTCATGCCGAGTTGGCAGGTTTGGTCGCTGATATGAAATTTTAAGGTCCCCAACCACCATACGTGACACGGCCGGCAGAGTCTTCCGGAAGATGTCCCGTACCACGTCTGAGACAGCCGGTAGAGTCTTCCGGAAGATGTCCCTCGAATCTTGGAGGGCCACGTGAGATTGGAGGTGACAGAAACAGCAACAGCAGCAGCAACAACAACAACCACCACAACAACAACAGCAGCAACAACAGCAGCAGAAACAACAACAACCACCACAACAACAACAACCACAGCAACAGCAGCAGCAGAAACAACAACATCAGTGGCAAGGACGACAAAGACGTCTGGCTGAGTGTGGGGGCCTAGTGGACGTGGGTAGAGCCTGGGGCAGGCCTGTACCAGCGCGGCGTTGTGGTGTATGCGTGGTGTGTAGGCCTCGGCCAGGTAAGGTCATTTACCCTTTTACCGGGTAAAAGGGTCAAGGGTAAAGGTGTTGACATGCCAAGGGGCAAGGTAAAGGGTAGGGTAAAGGAAGCGCCAAGTATTACCCGGTAAATACGGTGCCTTGTTTAGCGCTAGAATCTCCGTGGTGCAGTCCGTGGCCTTCATTTAACAAGTAATATTAAAACAAACTTTTTTAAAAACACGCTTTTATTAAATGTACTCGTAATGGCAGACCTCCACGACTCCAGGAAGTGGCCCCGAAGTTTGCCACGACGTAAGGGGACCGTGGCCAATCACAGCCAACGTGAGTTGAGCGTGGACAATTAGACCCAAGCCGAAACAACATATACAAAATAATGTTTAAAAACATTTTTATGATAGAATATAGTATTGTCATCAGTATGACATAAGTATACCAAGTTTGCAGTCGATACCACATTGGGAAGTGGGTTAAAATTGAGTTACAAGATTTGATACGACAACAACAACAACGACAACAACAACGACAAGCGTGTAAAATTGGAATCATCGAGAGTATTCTACATGAGCAAAGCGCTCTACCTACAGCATTTACCATTATAAACCTTGTTCATGTGTAGTAGTTCCCCAGTAATTACCCTGTAATCAGGTCATTAGTATGGGGTAAGGGTAAAAGGTGGGGTAAAGGTAGGCTCGTTGCGTTTTTACCTTACCTGCTAAAGGGTAAAAGGTAGGGTAGAGTGATTGTATTGTGGTAAGGTAAAAGGTAAGGTAAAGGTAGGCTCGTTGTTTTGACATTTTAACTTTTACCTTACCTTGCTCTTCCGACAGGCTGCGTTGGCTGGGTCGTGTATCCCACATGCCCCCAGCCACCACATGCCTAAAAAGCCTTAGTTAGGCCGGATAGAGGGAGATACACTGGGATGGCTTGTGAAAGAGATGCAGTGATGTGGCACAAGAGGATGTAGAGCTGGCTGGCTGGACTTGCTGGTTTGAAGACCGTCCTCTGTGGAGGAGGCTCGTGAAGGACGCTGCTGCTGGGCAGCTTTGAGACAGTCTCCCTCCAGCAACAACGGAGTGCAGAGGAGTGACAGCAGCCTGGCACAGGTGGTGGTCCATCTGCCACTTGTCTCAGTGAGCCGATCCATTAGCCCCTGGGTCTGTCCCTTGACCTCCTGCTGCCAGCACGAGGCGTTCGACACTTCACGTGGCCTTCAAGTGCACGTATAGCCTTGACTTAGAGCTTTCGTGACTGCAGGGATTTCATATTCTTTGGGTCTCTCGGTAAAGTCGCGTATCTACGTGACTTTACCGAAAGATCCAAGTGATATGCACGTAGCCTGGCGCAAGCCCCGTGGTGACGTCACCGCCACTCAGTGGCAAATGGCGCTTGTTGTTGATGGTGCTGACGGAGGTGACGGTGTTGGAGGCGATGGCGTTGGTGGCGCTGATGGCGGCGGTGACGGTGTTGGAGGCGATGCTGACGGCGGTGACTGTTGTGACGTTACAGGTTTGCGCCCCGCACGGCCACCGTCACCCGGGAAGGAGAAAAGACCCGCCAAAGATCTCTGATGGAGCGATGGGGGACAGGAGAGCGAGGAGTGAGAAGAGGTCAGGGCAGAGAGGAGGAGCCTCAACTTACGGAAGAGCAAGAAGCGAGAGATGATGGATAGCCAGACGCCCAGAGGGGAGAGTGTGCAGTGAGGTCATCCACCCACCCACTCATCCACCCACCCACTCACCCAGAGGGGAGAGTGTGCAGTGAGGTGGGCTGATGGCGGGAGAGAGCAGCAGAGGCAGGACGCGGACAGGGCCAGGTGGGACAGAGAGGGGGGAGCGAGAAGCAGAGTCGAGGGAGGGGTGGGTAGGGCGGTCGATCTGGCGAGACCGGGGTGGGTAGAGAGAGAGACGTCCCCACCCGTTTGTGCCGTCGCACCGCCTGCACACTCGGTGGCTTACGCCACAGGGCAAGCTTTGAGACAAACGCGGCTTCTACAATATACCCGTGATGTTTCGGTTTGTGCGGGAGAAGTGTTTGCGTCCTCACGGACTGGCGCGTGTGTGACACTCTGTCTAGGAGCGGTGTCGGAGTGCCCGCCGGTGGAAGAGATCGAGTTACAGGGTAGGCAAGAGCGCTGCTCACGGCGGCACATCTGGTGTCGCGTGCCTCGCGTGGCGTCCGCCTCCCACTGTTCACGACCGCTTTGATCGGCCGCTCATCGCACGAGTGGGTGTCAAGATGGCAGAATTAACGCGCAAAAACCTAGACAGATGTGTCGTGAACATTTGATCAATGTTGGACGGGTTTCATCCGGTGGCTCGAGTGCTGAACAGAAATTGTTGTTGACGACGCTGACGGAGGTGACGGTGTCGGAGGTGATGGTGACGGTTGTGACGTTACAGATCTGCTCCACGCGTGGCCACCGTCTCTCGGGAAGGAGAAGAGCCACCAACGCGGTCCGACGGAGCGAGGGGCGACAGGAGAGCGAGGAGCGAGAAGAGGTCAGGGCAGAGAGGAGGAGCCTCAAATAACGGAAGAGCAAGAATGGAGATGTGACAGACGGCAAGACGCCCAGAGGGGAGAGTGTGCAGTGAGGTCATCCACCCACCCACTCATCCACCCACCCACTCACTCATCCACCCACCCACTCATCCACCCACTCACTCATCCACCCACTCACTCATCCACCCACTCATCCACCCACTCACTCATCCACCCACCCACTCACTCATCCACCCACCCACTCATCCACCCACTCACTCATCCACCCACTCACTCATCCACCCACTCATCCACCCACTCACTCATTCACCCACCCACTCACTCATCCACCCACCCACTCATCCACCCACTCACTCATCCACCCACTCACTCATCCACCCACTCATCCACCCACTCACTCATCCACCCACCCACTCATCCAACCACCCACTCATCCACCCACTCACTCATACACCCACCCACTCATCCAACCACCCACTCATCCATTCATTCACTCATCCACCCACCCACTCACTCATCCACCCACTCACTCATCCACCCACCCACCCATCCACCCACTCATCCACCCAGCCACTCATCCACCCACTCACTCATCCACCCACCCACCCATCCACTCACTCATCCACCCAGCCACTCATCCACCCACTCATCCACCCACCCACTCACCCAGAGGGGAGAGTGTGCAGTGAGGTGGGCCGATGGCGGGAGAGAGCAGCAGAGGCAGGACGCGGACAGGGCCAGGTGGGACAGAGAGGGGGGGGCGAGAAGCAGAGTCGAGGGAGGGGTGGGTAGGGCGGTCGATCTGGCGAGACCGGAAGCCGAACGGGGGAGGCACGCCGGGGTGGGTAGAGAGAGAGATGTAGAGAGGAGGGACAGAGAGGCGGGGGGGAGAGGCCCGAGAGATCAGGGCGAAGTCCACATCAAGAATGCCATTGACATTCTAGCGCAGGTGATGTCGGACTTGCCAAGCGGGAGAGGGAGTGAGCGACCGGGAAGGAGAGAGCAGCAGAGGCAGTACGCGGACAGGGCCAGGTGGGAGAGGGAGGGGGCGAGGAGCAGAGTGGCGGGAGGGGCGGGTAGGGCGGTCGATCATCTGGCGAGACGGGAAGCTGACGAGGGGAGACACGCCAGGGCGGGTAGAGAGAGAGAGGTCGGAGCGAGAGACCGAGAGAGGTGGGACAGAGAGAGGAGGGATAGAGAGGCCGGGGAGGTGGGGGGGAGAGGCATGGACGATGGGTGGATGGGGGAAGGCCGGAGAGAGCAGAGGGAGATGCACATAAGAAATGCCATCGGGATGATAGATCGGGTGTTACGGGACTTGCCACGTGGGAGTGAGCGACCGGGAAAGACGACATATTTGTAAGGGGTGGAGTCACATAGAGACCCGTAGATTAGCATCCTTGTCTAGCCACTCACTCGTCCACTCACTCACCAACTCACCCAGCGACTCACCCATTCACTCATCCACCCACCCACTCACCCACCCACTCATCCATTCACTCACTCATCCACCCACCCACTCATCCACCCACCCACTCATCCACCCACCCACTCATCCACCCACTCACTCATCCACCCACCCACTCATCCACCCACCCCACTCACTCATCCACCCACTCACTCAGCTACCCCCCCCACTCATCCACCCACTCATCCACCCACTCATCCACCCACCCACTCACTCATCCACCCACCCACTCACTCATCCACCCACTCATCCACCCACTCACTCATCCACCCACCCACTCATCCACCCACTCACTCATCCATTCATTCACTCATCCACCCACCCACTCATCCACCCACCCACTCATCCACCCACTCATCCACCCACCCACCCACCCATCCACCCACTCATCCACCCAGCCACTCATCCACCCACTCACTCATCCACCCACTCATCCACCCACTCACTCATCCACCCACCCACCCACTCACCCACCCACTCATCCACCCAGCCACTCATCCACCCACTCATCCACCCCCTCACTCATCCACCCACCCACCCACTCACCCACCCACTCATCCACCCACCCACTCATCCATTCACTCACCCAACCATCATTGGAAAGATGTCATGAGCCACTTTGGGCCATGACTTGATTTGTGCAGTCTATGCAAGTGTGAGCTTAGTGCGCGCAAGTGCAACTCAAGTGTCACGGCTCGACAAACAGAAAAATCGAGACGAGGGGAAAGCCTCGTGGCACAGCCCCCGGTTGGTGCGAGCCCTGATATAAAGATGTAAATAGTGAAACCCGTGTTGATGTCCCCACCCACTCACTCAGTCACTCACTCAACCACTCACTCACCCACTCATCCACCCACCCACTCACTCACCCACCCACCCACTCATCCATTCATTCACTCATCCACCCACCCACTCATCCACCCACCCACTCACTCATCAACCCACCCACTCATCCATCCATTCACTCACCCAACCATCATTGGAAAGATGTCATGAGCCACTTTAGGCCAGGACTTGATTTGTGCAGTCTATGCCCTGATATAAAGATGTAAATAGTGAAACCCATTCTAGATTTGAAGCTTTCGTGACTGCAAGGATTCATACTGTTAGTTTTTTCGGTAAAGTCACGTAGGGTAAAAATGAAATTAAAATTAATAAAAAAACAATTTTTTATTAATTTTAATTTCATTTTATTTTGATTAATTCTAATTTCATTTTTTACCTAAAAAAACTAAGAGTATAGTGAAACCCGTGCTGATGTCCCCACCCGTTTGTGCCATCGCACCGCCTGCACACTCGATGGCTTACGCCACTGGGCAAGCTTTGAGACAGACGAGGCTTCGACAATATACCCGTGATCTTCTTGGTTCTTTCGGTAAAGTCACGTAGAAGGGAAAAATAAAATAATAAAATAAAACATAATAAAATAATTCTCACGACGTTTCGGCCACAACGCAAGCAGCCGTCCTCAGGTGAAGAACAGGTCTGTCGGGGAGACAGCGTCTGAATGAAACACCACCAGGCTTGGAGCGTCTATTTAAGCCGGGTTGGAAGGGGAGAAGGGCGCCTTGACAACCCCCTTCCAACCCAGCTTAAATAGACGCTCCAAGCGTGGTGGTGTTTCATTCAGACGCTGTCTCCCCGACAGACCTGGTCTTCACCTGAGGACGGCTGCTTGTGTTGTGGCCGAAACGTCGTGAGAATTATTTAATGTTTCATTTTTATTATTTTATTATTTCTCTTCTACGTGACTTTACCGAAAGAACCAAAAAGATGAATCCCTGCAGTCACGAAAGTTTTAAATCGAAATATATCCGTGATGCTTTGGTGTTTGTGTCCTCAAGGACTGGCGCGTGTGTGACGCTTTGTCTAGGAGAGGGTACGCAAGTG